CGCAGGTTTGGCTATCTGGGTATTTACACATGCGCGCGCGTGTGTGTACATATGTACATATACATATAAACATATATATTAATATCATATATCATAATTTATTTTTAACGGTAACTTGTTTAGTTTGCTTTGTTAATTTTTAATTTAATTAAAGAGAAAAATTTATTTATTCAACTTTGGTAAACTGAAATCATACTCTACTGTAATAATTCTTGGATAAGTTTACAAAAATATTTATTTAAAAAGACCTTCCACACTTTTCTTATCACTGTGCAACGGAATATAAAAAAAGTGTAACAGAATATAAAAGATAGTAAAAAAGCATTTTCTATTTTATTATAGTATTGTAATATATCATTATTCGTGTTGTAAATATTTGCATTATATTAATTAAAGCATTAAAGATAACAACCAAATGGAATGTAATGTTGCGATAACAATAATATGGACATATTCGAAAAGGTACAAAGATAAATTTCGAAAAGATAAAACATATATTTATAAATTTTTCAAATTATAATTTACACAGATAAAGAGGGAAGGGCGGGTTACGTCTTTAAATCTCGTGAAATTGCCGAACCACGAAGTTGTTATTTTTTTTGGCTACAACACTCGCACGCACATATACGAGCAGGGCTGCATTCAGAATCATCGCCCGGGTGCATCCAAATATCGTTTTATCCTTGTTTAACAATTGATAAACAAGAAAGATAAAATATGATATCTGGGTGCACCCAGGCGATGATTCTGAAAGCCCTGATGAAAAGAATTTTGATTACAAAAAAAACTGCTGGAATGATGAACCACGATTTCATCATCTGTCATAACTTTTGAATCATATTTTATCTTTCTTGTTTATCAATTGTTAAACAAGGATAAAACGATATTTGGATGCACCCGGGCGATGATTCTGAATGCAGCCCTGCTCGTATATGTGCGTGCGAGTGTTGTAGCCAAAAAAAATAACAACTTCGTGGTTCGGCAATTTCACGAGATTTAAAGACGTAACCCGCCCTTCCCTCTTTATCTGTGTAAATTATAATTTGAAAAATTTATAAATATATGTTTTATCTTTTCGAAATTTATCTTTGTACCTTTTCGAATATGTCCATATTATTGTTATCGCAACATTACATTCCATTTGGTTGTTATCTTTAATGCTTTAATTAATATAATGCAAATATTTACAACACGAATAATGATATATTACAATACTATAATAAAATAGAAAATGCTTTTTTACTATCTTTTATATTCTGTTACACTTTTTTTATATTCCGTTGCACAGTGATAAGAAAAATGTGGAAGGTCTTTTTAAATAAATATTTTTGTAAACTTATCCAAGAATTATTACAGTAGAGTATGATTTCAGTTTACCAAAGTTGAATAAATAAATTTTTCTCTTTAATTAAATTAAAAATTAACAAAGCAAACTAAACAAGTTACCGTTAAAAATAAATTATGATATATGATATTAATATATATGTTTATATGTATATGTACATATGTACACACACGCGCGCGCATGTGTAAATACCCAGATAGCCAAACCTGCGCGAACAGATTTCGAGCAGAGCTTGCTATCAACTTTTGATGGCAAATAGATAACAAATTTGATGCAGGATCTGTTATATCAAATCTTGCTGTCAAATTGCCGCCAAATATGCGGCAGAGCTTGTTGTCGGAAAATTGCTGCAGATTTGTAGCAAAAACCGCGCAGAGCTTGTAGCGATTTGACGGTAGATTGGGGGCAGAAACCGCGCAGACCTTGCTGCGCTGCAGGCTTTGTGTGGTTTTTGCTGCAAATTTGGCACCAATTGCCCGACAGCAAGATCTGTCGCCAAAACCGTAGCCTAATGTAGACACAGATGGCTATGGTTTTGCTGTGGATTTTTTATCAAATTTGCTGCCAATCTGCGCGCAATCTGCGCTCAATTTGCTTACTGGGTAATAAATGACACTTATGTAAAGTTATGTGAAAAGATATTATTTTCTAAAATAATCTATACAACAGTTGTAATAGATAACAGAGGACATTTGACAATGCTAAACTTCTATGTGCGCGGATGAAGAAAATTAAATTCAAGAGAAAAATCTTTTATTATTTTCAATTTTCGCAATAATTATTGTGCAATTCAAATTATTAACGAATAAATTTGTTGGAAAGTATAGGACGAACTATATGGATAGATATATTTATTAACATCGGCTTGGATCTGATCATTAATAATCTATATTAATGATCTATGAAAAGCGGATGCATTTATCTTTTTATTATTCTTAATATTTTGATATTTAATATTTAACACATTTGTATGTAATTTAAATATTTGTATAATTAATAGGTGCGAGAACAAAGTGCGCGAACGGCGAAAAACGACAAACAGCATAAGCATAAGTTTCACGCCGGCCGTCTGTTCTCTCTTTTCCGAGCATGCATCTGCTGCCTCTTTCTTCCCCGAACGATAGCTATAGTGTACGCTACCGACATATATTATAGCTCGGTCGAAGCGCGTACACGGCAAGCAGCCGTATACGCGTATCCCCTCCTGCGCGCCGCTGTCGAGCCGCCGCTCACGGACTCGGTCGCTCGCTGTGTGCGTGGCCTACGTCATGCTGTAAGCGGAGTAAAACTGTGCACACTGGCCGCGAGACGGCGGAGAGTCTCGAGTGGAAGGCTGAAGGGAACAGGAAGGGCCCAGGCAGAAGTTTTCCACAGTCTGTTAGCCATCTCACGTTATAGACCGTCTCACGTTTTAGATCGACTCTCGTGAGAAACAAAGAACGTAGATTGAGAGAATCACGGACACAGGAGAGAGATACACAGACAGGGTAATAACTCTAACCCCAACTTGTAACGGAGAAGTTCATCACGACAGAGCAGAGATATCTACCACGGGCACCTCATCCGCCACGATAATTGTGACACGACGACGCATCGTAGTTCATGCGTTGTACGCGAATGTGTATCAAATCAAGTAAGACAGATTCAGAGCACCGAAAATTCTCTCGGTCCCTGATGCTATCCCAAAATAACAATTACTCAATCAGCTCGAAGACCATAATGCAACCAGATTTATAGCGGAGAGGCAGTGGCTTACAACCACTGGGAGATGTTTGAGTTCAACTCGAACATACTTTTCTCCTTAATATCAATGGTCATAACATGAAGGATGAATGGCCAACGCATCTAGTATTTTGCAATCGACCAGAAGATCTCTGGAGGTGCAAATCATCCTTTCACTCAACTGACCGAATACCATCTTCGGAGGTTGGAGATCATTGTTGCCGCACACCCACTGCAGCGTGTCGTTAGCCAGATAACATTCGTGAATTAACCGAACAAGTCTTCAGAGATTCTAGACGTTAACGTGAACCTCTCGGACTCGTCTCCGGAAGTTCGATTACCAATGCCCCAACTAATATATTTTATTTTACATTCGTATAGCATATAACTATAATAATAATTTTTAAATATGTTTCATTATGCTTGTGTTTTTTTGTTTAACATGAATGATTATGTAACGCTCTTACGTTACGTGCGGCATAGACTTAGTCGATGCGGTCCAAGGTTTAAACTCAATAAATTTGAAGCAGTGGCGTAAGTAATAAGAAGTGTAAAATATATTCTTAAGTAAACGCCATTTACAATTATTTACAGATAGCGCGACGCCGTTGATACGTGGTCGCGTTTTTGCTCACGTCGTGAGTTGTCGTCGCGATGACAGCTGCGAGCGTCCAGGCTCGCGCGCGGATCGCGGGACGCGGTCGACGTCGTTTCGCGATCTTCTATTGCCCGCGTTATGAGTTTGAATACTCAGCGGGATTTAAATTGTTGTTGATACCGGCTTTTAACCGAGCCGGTTTCGGAACGATTGTTGTCGCGATGTGTCTCGCGACTTGTATACACGAGATGCATTATGCGATATCAGAGCGGTGCTAGGTAGCCGATGTCGACGTCGCGAATCCACTTCGGTCGACGGAACGGTCTGCGTAGAGGATGTCGACGTCGCGTATCCACCTCGGTCGACAGTACGGTTTCGGTAGAGGATGTCGACGTCGCGTATCCACCTCGGTCGACGGAACGTTTCAGATAGAGGATGTCGACGTCGCGTATCCACCTCGGTCGACGGAACGATTCAGGTAGAGAATGTCGACGTCGCGTATCCACCTCGGTCGACGGAACGGTTCAAGTAGAGAATGTCGACGTCGCGTATCCACCTCGGTCGACGGTACGGTTTCGGTAGAGGATGTCGATGTCGCGTATCCACTTCGGTCGACGGAACGGTTCAAGTAGAGAATGTCGACGTCGCGTATCCACCTCGGTCGACGGTACGGTTTCGGTAGAGGATGTCGATGTCGCGTATCCACTTCGGTCGACGGAACGGTTCAGGTAGAGGATGTCGACTACGCGTATCCAACTCGGTCGACGGAGTCTAGGAAGCGGTAAGGTTCGCTACGAGTTCTGTTCGGTTGAGCGTCTCAGAGGAGCTTTCCGACGGATCTCTCTCGATCTCGTTTGCGAGCTTTTATAAGAATTTTAGAAAACAGCGAAACTGTTTGCTGACCTCGCGGGTGTTCGGCGCTTTGCCTCGCGGATCTTCGGCGTAAACAATGAATAATCATCGTGATGATCCGATAACTTTTATCGTCACAATTATTGTTTATTTCTACTGATATTGCCTTTAATGATTGCTCGCCAACCACACTCCCGCCAAATGAATCCGGTACATTTATCTCTCCGATTATCTCTAACATATGATAATGTTTTATTATATGACAATGTTTTATTATATGACAACGTTTTATTATATGACAATGTTTTATTATATGACAATGTTTTATTATACGACAATGTTTTATTATATGAAAATGTTTTATTATATGACAATGTTGTATACAATGTTTTCATACGAAAGTGATGTACTAAAATATATATTTTATTGTAAGCAATGCAAAATATGTATCTATATTCGTATTTACGTTAAACAAGCCTGACACTTCCCTAATTACCTCTGATTAATAGCTGTGACGTGATGATTCTTTATCGTCCGTCACTCGGTGATAAGGAAGCCTTACGAGCTTCCCGGCTGCAGGCGGATGTCGCGTCCTAGCCGTGAGGCGAATAGAACGCGAGTTTACGCAGCCCTCAAATAATTTTTGTGTGAAAATACGGTCATCGGAGGAGTCGAGTCCGAACGAGGAATATTAACGTCGGGGAGAACTGCTGCTGCCGTGGTGGGTGCCATTAACATATTTACTTAAATCTACATTCTCCTTACTTAAATCAAATATTGTTTATTTAAATCAAGTAAACAATATTTGATTTAAGTAAATAGAATGTAGATTTAAATAAATATGTTAATGGCACCCACCAAGAAAATATTTGTTAATTTTAAGATAATTTTTCTCTCAGTGTATGAAGACCTGTTTTCAAGGTGACTTTTGAAAATTAATTTTAAGTAAATGATTAAACCTAAAGATTTAATGTTTTGTACTGACATTTATTCATCTTTAAAGAAACATCTCAAATTTTATTAATGCTTTTTATTCTAAAAATTAAAGAAAATACAAGTGGACGAAACAAATTACGCCCTAAAATCGTCTTTCATCGGGCATATTGATTGTCGCTGTCCTCGTCATCTGAAATAAATTAATTTGAATTTATTTTATTCTTTATGAATGTGGCTATCGCCCAAACTAGAATTAAATAATTTGAAGAAAAATTAACAAAATGGTAGCGCTTGAAAAATAGTAGCTTTTACTAAAAAAAATTCTAACTTTTCGCGACCTGGAAAAATAGTAATTTTAGATATCAAAAAGATTCTAGTTCTGGCGATAGACACATTTATAAAGAACAAATTAAAAGCAAATTCGTTTGTTTAATGACGAAGACGGCGGCCATCAACACGCTCGATAAAAGACGGAGTGACCTGTTACCACTTGTATTTTCTCCAATTTTGAATAAAAAGCTTTGACAAAATTTGATATGTTTCTTCAAAGATGAATAAATGTCAGTACAAAACATTAACTCTGTAGGTTTAACTATTTGCTTAAAATTCCCAAACATTGGCTTGAAAATAGGTTTTCATACTAGAATATTCCCTTAAGAAAGACGTCTTAAAGACGCTTTAAAATAACGTCTTAAAGACATCTTAAACCGGGACATAAGATGTCTTAAAGATGTCATGAAGACATTCATATCTTTAATCTCTGATAATTTTTTAAAGAGACGTCTGAAAATTTTTAACATATCTTTTAAACGTCTTTAAGACGGGATATTAATGTGTGAGATGTCTATTATTAACAGTGGGCGTGAATATTAAGATATGTCCATACATGTATCATATTACCATATCCGATCATGATACGATACACTGATACAATACTGTTATAAGGCGTAGTTTTCAAACTGTATCTATATTGCGTATCTGTATCTTTGGTATGTATCTTTTTGTTTTATTGTTTGATATATTCATATCTTTAATTCATATCTTTAATTATCTCTAGTGTATGTTTTTTTCTGTATGATTGACTACTGCCAACTACATTTCTATTCATTATGCATTAAAAAAGAAGAAGAAGATATGATGATGAATAAAAAATCTATAAAAAAAGTGAATGTTCCCTGCTCTACACTCCGCGTAAAGAGAGATCGTGCAATCATGATACAAATTACAATAACGTCCAAACTGACTGTGTCCACATATTATTTCTTTAATGTGACAGCAAAATACTGACTCCGAGTCGATCCTAATCGTAACGTTTTGATACGCAAATACGATACAGCATCCATTCTTGACTTGATTATGATACAAATCTTGTTACGGATATGATGATATAAGTCTGAATGCATTTTTAAATAACAAAGGCTGGCAAATGACAGACACGAACGTACCTGACACGACTGATAAAAGAGATTTTTAGGGTCGCTGCTATAAGGCGGTGTTGGATTATACAAAGGACTCTCGATGGTGCCCCGGCTGCCGTACGCGACTCGCTTGAACATATCCACGTACGCGTACGTCCCTGTCAAATCGACGATAATTCATTATTCGCCATTACATGAAATTATGGAAATTCTTTATTCTGTTTACAATATCATGCTTATTATTCCTCGTTTTTATTGCCTCAATTCAATTCGAGAATCACGCACCTGTTTTATTGCGATAGGTGTGATCGTAAGCAGGTACGTTCCTCTCTGGCGTGGGACCGCTACGCAGAGTCCAATTCAAAGGTCTCCCAGGAACATTTGACCAGCCACACCAGCCGTTTTCGAAATTGCACCTTGCATTCTCCGGTATCTTGTCTACAAATTTTATGATTGTTCACAAATTGCTCAAATTCATATCAGTATTAGTATCGATGGATCCATCGATAAATTAAAAAACTCGCCCTTATTAGAGTCTATATTTCTAAAGTTTACGATAAGAACGACATATGAAGAAGCAATATACTAGAAAAGTCAATATTCGAGATTCATACAAAAGATTAAGTGTTTCAAACCTACGCACCGCATTCGAACATTTCGTCTTCACCATCAGGACAATCCTTGGTAAAGTCGCAGATGTGAATGCTGCTCAAGCAAGTGCCATTTTTGCAGCGGAACATATCGTCTGTGCAAATCACTTTGTTTAATGTGATATCTAGATTACAAAAAAAATACGAAAATATTCAATTAAAACTCTGTGAAAAAATCTCAAAATTTTTTATATAATTTCTTAGAATTTTTATAAAAATTCTAAAATTTTCTAAAAAGTTCTATTTTCAAATTTTAATACAAAGGGCTCCGCACATAATTTTTATGATAAAAATGTATTCAGTCAATTCGTTTAAATTTGTGATATATTAGTTATTGCATTCTTGATTCAAAAGTCTCAAAGCGCAAAACCTTTGTGGCTAGTTTCTGAATCAAAAACATTCGAAAATCTCTTTTAAGAGATCCGCTCGTTTGCCCATATGAGTTTGCACTGGTGTGCCCATGATTTGTTACTCCTATAGTATTTAATGACTTCAAACTCTTTCTGCTGTGTGTATATAGAATGTCCCATATGTCCCGGACCGGCTGAATATCTCGGAAAGTATGCACTTTTGAAAAAAATATTTCAGATAAAAATTGCAATATATAAAATCATGTATTTAGTGATGTTAGCAGTTTGATCTTGGGTGGCGTCGCCAAGGTCAGGTCAAAGTCAACTTTGCTTTTTTAAATAGAAACATGAATTTTTTTTTACGAAATTTTATTTTACATAAAAAAATAAACAATTGTTGTTTGAAAAATTTTTTCATACGACCTCTATTTTTTAAGATATTTGCGGAAATATCTATAAAATTAATAGTTTCAATAATCTCTTACTCGAACTCTATCAACTTTACCGAAAAATAGTAAAAGATAAAAATTGCTTATTTTTATCTCATAGGGTTCTAAGAATTTTTTCAGAATTTTATAATTAACTTTTTAGTATTGCATTTTTTGCATTTTCATGAAGTACTAAAAAGTTAATAAAAAATTTTGAAAAAAATTCTCAGAGCAGATAAGAAATCAAGCTAGGATGCATAATTTTACTTCAACAAAAGATCTTCTGCGGACATTTAAGAAAATTTCAAATCAACCAGACTTTAAGAGTCGAACAAAGTTGACTGGTGAAAAAAACGAGATTAAAATTAAAGATGTTAAGTCTTCAGTTAAGGAGGAAGAACGACAGAAGGGAAGCCGATACTATAATTGTAACCAGACAGGATACATTGCCAGCGAGTGCAAGAAGCTAAAAAGAGAAAGGGGTTCCTGTTACGGTTGCAGAGAATTTAGCCACGTACAGAAGAACCGAAAAAGAATACATTGATGGAGGAGAAGGAAATCGGCAATGTGGAGACTGCTGCTGAGAACCATGGTTTTCAACGAGACGTCATTTATGAAATAAGTTGTTCCATTGTTAAATATATGTTACAACTAAGCACATTACTCAACACAGGAAGTCCAATCAGTTTAATTAGAGAACAATTTGTTAAGTATAATATTATAATATTGATAATATCAGTCAATTGTCACTTTTTATGGCATTAACCATTTTAAACTCATAATTAAGGGCATTCTTAACGCGAATATTATACTGGACGGAGTCCGAAAAAATAATGTTCCTCTTTTAGTTGTATCAGTTGGCATCATTGTAATACAATGTCGCCATGAATTCTTTTAGGAGAACGAGACGTTTTAAAACTTTAAATTTTTAAAAATCAGAGAAAAAATCGAAAAATCATTGATAACACTATGAAAAAAAACAATTAAAATTTTTTTTTTTTATTTTAAAAAGAAAAAAGACTCTAATATCGTGTGATTTCCACACCAGTATGAGTTGGGCAACGTAAAATGTTACGACGGACAGACGGTAGAAAAGTGCAGAATAATAAACATTACAAAATAAATTAAGATTAGTAAAATAAAACTAACAACTTTACACAACAAATTAAAAAAATGTGTCCAGTTATGTTATTTTGAGATTATGTTACTTAGAATAATCACATTTTATGTTCTTTATTCATTTGACAGTAGTATTATTTTCAAATAAGTATTGCAACTCGAATATGGTTATATAACCATAAGTTGCAAAAATGTGTCCAACTATCCTATTTTAAAGTTACGTCACATCTTTTCTATTATACAAGATAAGTAAAAAGTCCTAGACCGGTGAAATATCTTGAAAATTAAGCATTTCCGAAAATAATATTTCCTACAAAAGTTGTAGGGTTTTAAATGATCTATTCACTGCTCAGTCTGACTTTTGGTAGCGTCACCAAGGTCAGGCCAAAATCAACTTTGCTTTTTTAAATAGAAACATGTATTTTTTTATTACGAAATTTCATCCTACGTAAAAAAAATAAACAACTTTTGTTTGAAAAATTTTTTGACACGACTTCTATTTCTTTAAGATATTTGCGAAAATATCTAAAAAAATTATTAGGTTCAGTAATTTTTTATTCGAATTCTATCAACTTTACCGAAAAATGGCAGGAGATAAAAATAGTATATTCTTATCTCATAGAGTTCCGAGAATTTTTTTCAGAATTTTTTATTACATTATTAACATTTTAGTACTGCATTTTCTTGAAGTTATAGTAAGCATTAAAATAAAATTTTGTAATAAAAAATATATGTTTCTATTTAAAAAAGTAAAATTAACTTAAACCTAATCTTGGCGGCGCAACCTAAGGTCAAACCAATGGTACTTCCTTATGTCCTCTATCGGACCATATAACTTTAGTTTGAAACATTTTTCCATATTCTTCCATATTTTACGAGATTTTTGTTTAAGGTCTTTAAAAAAGGACACTCTGTATATTGCAATATATAAGACGTACCAAAAGAAAAATATAAGTAGAACAGATAAAAATGAAAAAATAGTATAGAATTCCTTTTCGAACAACCACGTAAAATTTCAAGTTATTAAATAAAATAGATGGGCAAATCAGAGCGCTCGACGAAGAAAATGGACAAGCGCACACGTACACAGGGGCGCACACAGAGCTATCCATTTCAGTATGCTACGGTCCACCTCTCTGGCCTATAAGATAGGCCCGCGAGCAATCGTCCATTTTCTTTGTCGGCCGCGGCAAGCCGTAGGTCCCGCCTGCCGCGTCGCGCGCTCTAATTTGTCCCTTTATTTTACTTAACAACTCGAAATTTTATATGGTTGTTCAAAAATAACCTCTAGAATATTCTTTTACTTTTATCTATTCTACTAATATTTGTCATTTGATACGTCTTATGCGGGACACCCTGTATATATACAAGATGTTTCCAAAAAACCATTCAGTATTTATATGATAGATAGTACACACTATATGAACTTCCGTTTCCGGAGCGAGTGTGAGTGACTGGCGATTTTAGAACGAATGAGAAAGAGAGTGAAGGAGAGTGAAAGAGTGTTTGAGAGTGTGAGGAGAGAAGGAGAAGAGTGGAGCAAAAGATAAGATAGGTGGAAAAGTGTGAGTGAGGTGTGGGAAGATGAGGGAAGGGAATAAAGAAAGGAGAAAGGAAGCAAGTATAGAGAGGTTAGAAAAAATAGAGGGGTAGGAGTGAGAGAGGAGAGTAAAGGAAGAGACATCTGAAGAGGTGGATAGAAACTAAGTGAAGGAAAGTATGGCAAGAGCAGGAGAAACAGGGAAAAAAGTAGATAAGGGAAGGATAGAGAGTAGGGTTGATTAGGCAAAGAGGAAAAGGAGGACAAAAGCAAGGGGGTGACGGGAGAAATGGAGGAAAAAGGGAAAAGCAAGATAATAAAAGGAAAGAGAGAGATAATGGGAAGTAGAAGAGAGGAGATCGAAAGGAGTACAAGCTTGGACGAGGTATGGAAAAGAAAAAGAGATTCGATAGGAAAGGAAAAAAGGAAAAGAGGAAGGAATGGTTTGCATTTAAAAAAGGAAAGAAGTTTTACAAAAATCACTTCAAAAAAGGAAAAAAATGAAGGGGAATGGAGAAAGGAAAACGGAACGGGATGAAGGGGGAAGAGAGAAAAAGGAAATGAGAGGTAAAATAGAGAAGCTTGAAAGAAAATGGAAAGAAGGAGAGGGGGAGGGGAAGAAAGAAAGGAAAAGGAAAAGTAACAGATTGAAGACTAAAGTAAAGGAAATGGAAAGAAGAATGGAGATGAGAAAAAGGGAAGAGAGCAGGAAAAACATATGGGTGAAGGGGTAGAAAGAAGGAGAGAAAAAATAGAGGAAAGAATCAAAAGAATATGGAGTGGGGTGGGAGTAAATGAAGAGATAGAGCAGGTGAAGGTGGCAAATATAAGAAAGGAAGAGGAAGAAAAGAGGGTGTTAGTGAGGATGAGAAATTTGGAAAGAAAAAGGATAATAATGAGGAAGAGAAGGGAAATAGGAGGAAAGGAAGTAAGGATAGAAGATGATCTGAAGTGGAGAGAAAGAAAGATAAAGTGGCAGTTAGAGGAGATAGCGAGAAAGACAAGAATTAGAAGGAGGAAGGTATGGGTAGGTTATGGGAAAATGCAGATAAAAGGTAAGTGGTGATGGTATATAGGATGAGGAAGAGAACAAATTAAGAGATAAGGAGAGTGAAGTGTGGGAAGTACAGGGGGAAGAGAAAAGAGGGGGAGGGAAGGAGAAAAAGATAATAAGGGGAGAGTAGGAGAGGGGAGATGGGAAAATAAGTAAGGGATGGAATGTGGCGGGGATGAAAAATAACGATAAGGAGTTCTGGGGAAAAATTAAAGAATGGGAGATAGTGGTTCTAAACATGGAAACATGGACACATGGGTAGATGAGAAAGTTTGGCAGAGAATGGGAAAACACCAAAAGAATATGAGTAGAAAGTGAGATAGGCAAAGAGAAAGAAGAAGAAAAGGGCAAGTAGAGAGATGATATGAATAAAAAAGAAGATTGAAAGGAAGAAAAAAGAGGAGGATCTCTTTTTTCCCCCTTTCAATCCTCTCCATTCCTAAGGAAATGATAAAATGCTTTCAATCTCCTCCTCCTTCTCCTGAGGGAATGATAAAATGCGTGGTAAAAGTAGGTAGAGAAAGATGGAAAGTAGTGGGAGTGTATGTGAATAAGGATTTGGATAGGAAGTTAAAGGGGTTGAAGAAATAGAAGAAAGGGAGGAGGGAATAAGAACAATCATAGGAAGGGATTT